AGGTTTTCCTGTTTCTGGTGCTGCCTCAGAGCCTAATCTCTGGCAGCCAAGAGTATGTGACTCACATACTTTCTTTTCTGCATTACTGGATCAGCCTAACCAAGGAAAAAGAAGGGGGTTAGGAATTGGGAGCCTTACTCTTTCAAAAGTATCTCCCAGAAATTGGAACCCGTTAGAACTCGTGTTCTTCCTGTGGTTTTCTAGGTAGTTGGGATGAAATTACTCTGTTGTGGTTAAAAATGAAAAGATTTCTCCTCCTTCCCTAGCTAAGTTCTTTTCATGGATCTAAAATGTTTCATAAACATTCAACCTCACTGAAAATGCCAAGCTGCAACTTATCATGAACGGGCCTGGGTGTTTTGCTATCAGCAGCTTTTTATCTTGATCCAATCTTTCTTTATTTCATATCACTACAGGTTGCAAAACTCCCACAAGTGGTCCAGCAACAGGCTACTGTTGCCAACATTCAGCAGATGGTTTCAGTTTCCCAACAGGTAGGTTTTGCTCTTATCAAATATAGCACTAGAAACACGATCTTTAGAAAAGCTCATTTTTTTGGAATGTATGTATTTTTCACATTATATGTGGCATAGGAAGTATTTTTGAGGGATATAGCAAGTGCCCTTTTATCAAAATAAATCTTGAATACTGAATCAGCTGAAATATATTTTCTGGATTAAAACTTTCATAGATGCAGCCATGTTTGTTCATCGCTGTAGATAAACTGAAAACCAGATTTTTAAAAGTGTTTTCTAGAGCTGAAACGATGTTTAAAATTTGGTTTCTGGTGATGTGTAGTCAATATAGCAAATAATTGAACTAATGAGCACCATCTGAGCTTTTTCCACAAAAACTAGGACAAATTGAAGGTTACAGGTTGTTTTGTTCCAGTTCATAGAGCTGTGCCAAGTGCTCTGTAGAAGGCAGAATGGTGTGGTGCCTGTTCCAAATGTGTGCTGGTAACAGACAGGGCTTGGGCAGGAGAAGCTCAGGTGGTTTGATTCCACTCCCCTAATGACCAGGCAGTTTAATTATCACTGTTTAGAACAATGGCATCCAGATCATTAGCAACAGGCCTAACTTAGGCAGTTGATTGTCAGGAATGATTTAACTTTGGAGGGTGGATGAAGTTCTTGCCTTTGGTGCACAAAAATCTGGGCCAGTGGGCTCTTAGTCTGCCACAGTTCACACTGCAGTGTTTTAGTGCAGAATAAAATCTGGGACTGTTTATCTCCAAATGGTGATAAAGTGGTGTAAGCTGTCTGATAACCACCTTAGATGTGAATGCTTCAAGGGCAAAGTAGACAGCAGGAGGTAGAAACCTCATCAGTCAACACAACTTGAGTTGCCCTCTGTAGTCAGGAAGAGCTCCTAAATCATTTTCAAAAGTCATCAGTGGTGGCATAACTCTGTGACTGTTGGAGTCTGTGGCAAAAAGAGAAACAGTTTCCCTCCCATGTACACCAGTGACTTCAGTGGCAGTAGGTTTAGGCCATGGTAAGTATTTTTTAAACTATGGTCTTTATGTGTATCTGGCATTCTTTTTATCTGTATTTTTAGTGCTTCCCACTGGAATCCTTTTGGATCATTCAAGAGTTAATTTTTTGTCTGGAGAAGTCCTTGTAGCTTTGTTTGGCTTTTGCATCTGACAAAGGCAGCTGAAGCTGCTCAGTTTCATTACCTTGTCCTCTGAACAAGGAGATGTTGATTTTTTTTTCTCCCTTGCTCTGGGTAGAGCTATGAAAATTTGATGTCTGGATGGAGTTCAAACTATTCTGCCATAAATTGGCAATAGAGTAGTAGCAGCTGTAGTCTGAAAGGGCAGAGACTGGTGGGCAGCCTCAGTGGCTGTATTTATTGTCACAATATGGATGCAGAGTCAGCATTTTAACCTCTTTGGTCCTCTGGCTTTTCCCTGTTCTTTTCCCTGCTCCTTCACTTCTGCAGTACAGGAATTTTCCTACATATCTGGTAGGGTTTATATACCTTTAATTTGCCTTCTGAATGTATCTGAGGGCATGTCCTTGGATTTGCACTGCAGAGACCAGAGTTACAGGCACTTTGGCTCTTAGTTCTGATTTATAAGGCTCTAGAAAATGTGACAGAATGGTGTTTCTCAGTGAAACCACAGAGCCTCTGTTCCCAGAATCATTGTCTGAGTTGTTTGTCAGTTAAGAGAGCAAATACCTAAGGAAGCAGGATTCCTTCTGTAGAGCAGAAATGTAAGGACTGCTCAGTTTAATGCTAAACCATTTTGTAATTGCCTTTTCCTCCTGATGTGCAGGTACAAGCTCAGCCCCAAACTGTGACCCTTTCTCAGACGACAGCAGGACAACAGCAGGTTCAGGTGATCCCTGCAACCACTGCTACTGCTCAGGTGGTGCAGCAGAAACTGATCCAGCAGCAGGTTGTGACCACAGCCTCTCCCCAGGTTCAGGCTCCAGGTGTACAGAACCCAGCCCAGACACCAGCAACACCTGAAGCCCAGAGTCAGCAAGCAAAAGTACAGATGAGGACACCGACTGTCAGATTAAAGGCACCTACTAAACCAAGCTGAACTATTGCAATAACAGGGAAACACAGGATTTTGTGTTTGCTGAGACAAGTGAGAAGCTACTCCAGACATCCAAATGAAGACAAAACACCTCTATTTTATTTTTTTTGTAGCAGAAGGTTTCTTGCTGGTGAACATTTAAACATGAAAACTCACATGTAACTTCAGTGTATTAGCAAATGTTTAGCACTCAAACTCTGTACAAGATGCATTCTGCCTGTGTTCTCTGTGCTCATTTAAACCACATAAAGCAAGCATTACTTAGGTTGAAGTTCTGCCCAGCTTCTCAAAAGTGAAATGGTGGTCTGCCATAAATGTCAGTAAAATCCATCTGTGTTAGAATGCCACACCTGCCTGTGGGCATGTGCAGCTCCTTGCTGTAGTTCAGTGTGTGCTCAGTACCCACAGTGAAGCCACACAAAGAACCAGGTGTAGTTGATACAGCACAGTATTTTCCACCTATACAAAAGCTCTGTGTTGTTCTTCCCTGTGGTAAACACCCCTGGAAGATCCAACACAGACTTGAAGTGCTCCCTGCAAAGTTTAGCCAATAAATGTGAAAACCTGTAAGTATATGTAATTAAAAAGGAAAAAAAAAAAGGTTTCATTCTCCATTTTTGTAAGTCTTTTAAAATGTTTGTTAGTAGTTTTTGTGTACAGTTTACTGAATCACCCAACCTGTGTGCTCATTCTCGTATTTCACTTTAAAATAATGGATATTTTAGGCATGAGCTGAGTAAATACTGTGTTGATAGTAAATGTGTATTAAAGTGTAGCCCATTTTTTTTTTGTAAAAGAATTGTTCAGTAGATGCAGCTAAAACAGATGATCCATAGCTGTTTCTCATGGGACTTCTGTCACAAAAAATCTCCAGCTGATAAAATCTAATCTCTCAGTTTCATTCTGCTCTTGCAACATGTTTAAATGTTCAGTACTTTTTACACGGCTTTCAGCTTAGGGGGTGGGGGGCTGGGGCAAGGGGAGAATAGTGAAATTAAATCTAAGACTTAATTCTTCAACTGTGTAAAGAGTAAGATCTAACTTTTGTACTATTCTTTTACTAAAAGCTAACAATGAATGTATCTTCAGGTGGGTATTTTGGATGTGAATAGAGCGTGGCCTCTTCCTCCAAATCAGTTTGCCTTATTGTTATGGAGAAAAAAAAAAAAAAGCAAAAAGCTGCATAGAACTGTGGGGGTTTCTTTACTTTTCTTGCATACAATGAATAACAGACTTTGCAAACAGCACTGAGTGAGGAATCAAAAAACCCATGGTGGCTTGAAGGGATTTATTTTACTTTGGCCATAAAACTGCACAATGTGTAAAATCCAGACAAAATTACAACATTCCTTTTCTGAGATGGTTTTAAAATTATTTTTTCATTCTGTGATCTTTTTACTCTTTTAGGAAAGGAGCCTATTTAAGGGCAGGGAAAGCATATATTTTGTTTTTACCTCTGTATGTCCACACTTGTTGGTACCTGGCAATCCACATGGCTTAAACAAGAAAGAATTCTCAGCCAGCTCCTCTGTGTTAGTTGGGATAGGTACTGCCAATTCTGTTCAGATCACAAATTTAACATTGGCTCAGGCAGCGTTCCTGATTTTTTTATTTTATACCTCTTTTGTCCTGCATACTTTTTTTCTTGGACCCTCAGGTGTACAAATACAAGGGCATTTTGTTTGTTTGTTTTTTTTTTTTTTAAGCTGTTTTTGCATGCAGTAGTATTCCCCTGACCCTGCTAACCCCTGGCTTGTGCCATCCCCTAAACTTCCCTGCCAGCCAGGGAGCTGGCACTGCTGACAGCAGAGTAGTTTGAAATGCAAAGCAGATGCAGTGGTAATGGATAGTGACACTGTGTACAGTATAGCCTTGCTCATCCGAAAATATTGCTTAGGTAGCCCCATTTTTACTTTTAAGTGTTTAGCTTTTATGATGTGCATGAAGGTCGGGGTGGGGGGGAACAGTTCCAGCAGTGGGAGAGCTGCTGGCTGCGTCTTTGTGCTGGTCTGATTTGGTGTCTAAAGAGGCGATTGTTTCTTGTTTAGGTCAGTTGATGAAGATAAAAAGTCACCATATTTTTTTTTTCCCTTCTAATTATTTTTTTTTCTTCCTTTCGATGTGTCTTTCTCCCAGGAGTGTGTTAGGAAGTCAACCTGTACATAAGTGATGAACGTTTGTACTCGCCCCAGTAGGATGATAAGGAATAGTGCTGTATCCTACCTGAAGGTGTAATAAAGTGTACATTTTTATACCGCCGCCTCGCCCTGCCTTCTCTACCGGGGCGGGTTACCGGGAGGGGCGGTGCGGGTGGCGGGACGGACCCATCCCCATCCCCATCCCGATCGCGATCCCCGCCCCGCTGCCGGCCCCGCCTGCGGGCGGAGCGGCCGCGGCTCCTCCTCCTTCGTCCGCTGCGAGCATGGCGCGGGAGGCCGCGCTCGCCGCCTGCCTGGAGGCCGTGCTGGGCAACCGCTCCAGCGCCAACCGCGTCTTCGAGCTCCTGGAGCCGCTGGCGGTGCGGGCCGGGCCGGGCTGGGCTGGGCTGGGGGACCGGGCTGAGGGAGGGAGGGCAGCGCGGCCGGGCCGCCGCTCTGACACGCTGCTCCCCAGGGCCAGGAGGAGCCGGAGGACATCGTGAGCGCCGCCAGGATCTGCGGCCGGCTCTTCGGGGCGCTGCTGGAGCGGCGGGAGCTGTTCGTGGGGCCGCTGCCCGAGCAGGACGCCTCTCTGGGCGGTGAGCACGGAGCGGGGCCCCGGTGCTGCCCGGGACAGGCGCGGCCCGGCCCGAGCCCAGCCTGTGTCTGTGTGTCTGTGTGTCTGTCCCTCACAGAGAGCTACAGCGCCCAGGACAAGTACAGGATATGGATGCGGCACCGCTACAGGGACTGCGTGGGCTGCCTGGCAGAGCTCATGGGGCACGACGCCTTCCAGGTCAAGGTGGGTCCTGAGCCCGCTGTTGACACACGAGGGGTTCCCTTGAGGCTCTCGCCCAATATTTCAGTGTGGGAGGGCAGGCAGTGCTGTAAAACAGCAGTGATGCTCTGATTCACCTCTGCTCACCAGCAGTGAGCATGCAGATTTCTCAGGAAATAATATCTCATTTCATTCTTCCTCCTCCTCTTGAAGGTGCCTCCTTTGGGTTTGACTCCTGTTGTTCTTGTTTAGGTGTTTTGTGTTTTTTGGGGTTTTTTTGTGATGTTGCTTTCTTTTTTTTTTTTTTTTTAAAGGAGCAGGCACTCTGCACACTCATGAAATTTGTAGAATTGGAGGCACAGTATCCATTGATCAAAATAGAGTGGAAAGGAACTTTAACTTTTCCCTGTGACCTTCTTAAGGTAAGCTGCAGACCTGAAAAGTCCCTCCTGTCAGTGACCTGATGGCACACAAACTCTTGTGCCCTCAGCCTCTCACTCTGTGCTCCAGTGCTGTGAGAGACTGACTTGTTGCTTTCCTTTCCTTTGTTAGGTGGTTGTTGATGGTTTGCTTCCCACCACCGAGGACTCCTCCCTGCTGATCTCCCGCTTTCAGGAGTACCTGGAGTACGATGATGTTCGCTACTTTGTCATGAAGGCTGTCACTGCCAGCATTGGGCAGGTCATGCAAAAGATGAAGGAGGTAACAAATTGTTACTGTTCAGGTGCCTCTGGATGAGCTGCTCTGGGCTGTGTGTCTTGTGTGTGAAGCAGGGAGCAGTTGGTAGTATATGGAAATATTTGGAAGCTAGAGAAATGAGTGTGCCCACTGGAGGCATTGATTTTTTTCTTATGTGTGCCAATATGCCAAGACTGGCTTTACTCTGATATTGAAAGTATTTCAAGGCATATACTGTTCTTTCTGGTCTAAGCTCTAGCTTCTATTTTACCCAAATCTTCACAGCTTGGGTGACACACAGAGAACTTTTAATTCTGTTGCTCTGGTGCAGAGGAAGAACCTGTTTCCTTCATTGGATCCACCAGTAGAGATAGTTTTCTGATCTGCAACAGAGAATATACCAGTATGTAGTTTATTTATGTAGTTTTTAGTCATCATTTTCCCTTTCTCTTTCCTAAATATATTCAGTACTTGGAAGCAGGGCAATATTGAAGCTCAGCATCTTGCTCTCTGATGTGGAACTTGCTTCATGTTTGTTTTTTCCTTTTTTCCTCAGAGGCCGCTGCCTTTTTACCAGCAGAATGTATTTTCCCTCATCTCACCCATCAACATGCCAAACAAAGAGTCTGAGATGGTCAAATTTATGGTCAAACAAGGTTAGTAAACTCTGCATGATAAACTGTTTGTGAAAAGGAAAATCAGGTTAAGATTTCTAGTGTGTAAATATTTTACTGTTGTTTGCTGATGAAGAATTTCTGCTTCTTTGATCACTGTGATTCTACACAGTCTTAAAAATCCACATTCCTCAGTCTACACGGGGTCTGTTGTGGCCTTGTATCAAATTAGGTACTTCAGCCCAAGTTTTTAGAGCATCAAAAGGCTAAGTTAAAAAAGCTCTTCTTAATTTTTTGAATATCCATTTCAAGTTCAACATCTGGTTTCTCTTTCTTCTTAGATAACCGTGAGGAGTTGAAATTTTCAAAGCTGCAGGTAACTGTTCATTTGGTGCATTAGAATTGAAATTTTGTCTTCTTAAAATAGAGCATTATCTGTACCAGTGTGTTTAACTCACTGTTTGCAATTCTGTTTTTAGGCACACAAACAGGTGTTTGAAAAAATGTGGTTGACTTTTTTGAAGCACAAGGTGAGTGTTACTTCTGCCACTGATCTGCATTGCTCTTTAATTTAGGATTGCTGATCCTTAGCAGTTGTGTCCAGCCTTGCAGGAAGCTGCTGGTAGGATCCCAGTATGTTTTGAGTGTTGGGTGGGAACAGCCCCAGTGACCATTTCTGTTGGATCACACTGCCAAAAAACATGACCTCATATATGGCCTGCTTTTTCTCCTTACCCTCAGCCTTTTTTGCCTACCTTAAACATCTCTGCCCATAAGGGTGATCTGCAGCAGAGCAATCTCTGCTCACAAGCTGAAGCTTCCCCAGCCTTTTTCCTGGTGATTTTCCCCCTCTGAGTGATGACACTGTTAGCTGTGAGCACCTGCTTGAATGAACTCCCTTGGTGTCCCCTGTAAACTCTCCCATTTGGGAACTGCTGCTGCAAGCTGTTCTGTATTTTCCTGGCACATTCCCTTCTGCTTGTGCATTGCCTTTTTGAGCCACAGGTTGCTGCTGCTGACTGAGTTCTCCCTGCAGTGCTTGTTTCTCTGTTGTTTTGTCCTTCACAGCTGCCCCCTGGCCTTTACAAAAAGGTTCTTGTCATTCTGCACGACTCTGTCCTGCCTTACATGCACGAGCCCACTCTCATGATGGATTTCTTGACAGTGGCCTATGGCATAGGTGAGTGAGAACAGCCTTTTTTCCTTTGTGGCACCTCCAGCAAGGCACAGATGGACTTGGAAGCTGTGCTGGATGCAGCACCAAACCCTGGGTGGGGGAATAGCTGTACTTTTGGCTGGGATGGAGCTAAGGAATTAGGGTCAATTCCATTGTCCCTGAAAGTGAGATGATTTTACATGTGTTTGTCAATGTCATTGCTCCTTGTGTGTAAGGAAAATAATATTTAAGGCTTTGGGGAAGAGTAGAATACTGAAGTGATTTGTTTTAAAGATAGAGTTCAGCCAGTGCTGCTGATCCAAACACAGGATCCACAGATTGCTGCAGAAATGTCCTTTCTGAGCAGACCTTTGCCTCCCCAGTGTGACTTTGTTGAGGAATTAGAGCAGCACATTTTGTGTCTTGGTCGTTGAACATTTGTTCTACTAAAATACAGCTTAATCTTTGTAAGAAACTTGGGAGTCTCTGGAGGGGTGCAGATGAAATTGTTTCACCTTTCAGCTGTCACACTGGCTCTGATTTCAGCTATTCAGTTTTGCTTTCCTTCTGGGAAGATTGTATTACAGAAAAAACTTAATTTTTTTTTTCTAGTTATTTTTATTGTGTTGATATCTGCCTGTTTTCTTACAGGTGGAGCAATCAGTCTTCTAGCCCTAAATGGGTTGTTTATTTTGATTCATCAGCATAATCTGTAAGTAGAAAGAGTATATTGTTTAAAGGAACATGGGTTTTTGCATTTATGTCTTTATGTAAGAGGAACTGAAATGGATTCACCACACCTTCAGGCTTTGAAATTCTTCCATGAGAAAGCCAAACTGCACAAGAGGTTCAGGCTGTTTGGATGCTGAGCTTTTTTGGCTGATTTCTTTTACAACTGAACCTAAATAGTCTGTTCTCTAGGCTGTGGTTGCTCAGCACTTAAAAATCAATTTCCATTGATCTGATTACAGAGTGAAGCCATGGTCTTTGGTGTCCCTTTCACTGCATCCTGTACCATTTGCAGTCACTGGTCCTGGCTTCACACCCTGAAGGTGGCTGAGCACTGCAAGAGCCATAAATTCACTTTGCAGTTTGTTTTCAGGTGGTGACTGTAGAGGGAAGCCTAAGAGAGCCAAACAGAGCACAGCAGTGGGCTGGGGTGCTCTTAATGACAGCACAATAACATTTAGCCACAGCCCCACTGTACACCTCTAATGGATGTTGTACACCTCTAATGGATGTTGTACACCTCTAATGGATGTTGTATTTTTTCTTTTTTTTAACAGGGAGTATCCTGACTTTTACAAGAAGCTGTACAGCCTGTTAGACCCTTCCATCTATCACGTGAAGTACCGAGCTCGCTTTTTTCACCTGACCGATCTGTTTTTGTCTTCATCGTAAGTAGCATCTTTATTTTGTGTGCTCACATATTTTCCCTCTGCTTTTCTGTTCTTGAGAAGTCTCCCACATGTCTGGATTTAATGTATTCAGTGTGCCTGCTGGATTAGATACATTTTTATGGAGAAAACTGAATCCAAGACTATTATTGTAGTCTTGTGTAATTTTTCATGTGCTATTTTTGAAGATTTGCCTCACAGCCATAGATTTTCAGAAAGGAAGAATTGCAGTTAGTTATCAGAGTTTGAGCTGCAAGTGCTTATGGATGTGTTTTTGATCTCTGTTCCACTTTGGGTGAAAGTGATGAATTTTCTGTCTTGTCTTTGTAAAAATGGAAAAGTAAAATTTGCTGGGTTTTTATAGATTACAAAGCTGTTGATAAATGGATGGCTTTTTGCAGACATAAAGCACTGAAATGTGAAGTGTTTGACAGCCTGTCTTGATGTTGTCAGTTCATTGTACACAGGGAAGAAGCTGGATAGGCAGCTGGTCATATAGTTGCTGTCATATGTTATAAAATAAACCAACAGTAACACAGCACCAGGCACTTCATATCCAACCCCCTTGTAGTCCTGGTGTACTTTGGAGAGAGTGACAAGACCTGTGGGTAACTTTGAGCCTTGCAGGTGTAGTGAGACCTGAGTGACTGAAAATTGTAATTTTCATCTTCTGACAGGAAGAAGGGGCCTAAATGAGGTGGTTGCTGTTAGAAATTTGCATTTTTACCATAAAAAAAAAAAAAAAGAATTATGCTGCACATTTACACTACATGGGAGCTTTATGTTCCCATTAACAGCTGCAGTGCTTGGAAATGTTATGTAAATTTAACACCATGGCCTGTGTATTAATTAAACCCACAAAATGACATAAGAAGAATATAATTAAGGTTGCCTGGCCAAGCACTCAGTTTATGAAAGGACTGAATAAAGTTTGCCATGAGGAATGGCTGTGTACAGGGGCTGTGCTTGGCAATGGTGCCACGTGTCAGGATTGACTCTCACAGTGATCTGAGATTATTCATGCACTGAATGTAAATTCCCCCAAAAATTTGTTCCAGCAAGCACACAACACTTTGCTGCTTAAATTTGAGATTCCTTGTCACCGTGATATTTTCTGAAAAATCCTCTTTGCCCAGATTCTTCTCCTGGGAAGATGAGAAGCCTCAGCTTCTCCATATTTTGCTGCTCTGGAATGTGGCCTGGAGATTGTTTATCCAAACATGTGAATTATTTTTAATTAATGACCATTCACAGCCAGCTGTGTCGGACTCTCTGAGTCAGTCACGAGTTTTTATTGTTCATTCTTGTTAAGCCTTCTGAGGTATCCTTTCTCTTTCTTTAGTATAGTTTTAGTATAGCATAATATAATATAACATGATATAGTATGGTATAATATGGTATAGCATGGTATAGTGTAGAGTAATATAGCATAGTGTAGAATAATATAGCATAGTATAAAATAATATAGCATAGTGTAGAATGATATAGCATAGTGTAGAATGATATAGCATAGTGTAGAATGATATAGCATAGTGTAGAATGATATAGCATAGTGTAAAATAATATAGCATAGTGTAGAATAATATAGCATAGTATAAAATAATATAGCATAGTGTAGAATGATATAGCATAGTGTAAAATAATATAGCATAGTGTAGAATGATATAGCATAGTGTAAAATAATATAGCATAGTGTAGAATGATATAGCATAGTGTAAAATAATATAGCATAGTGTAGAATAATATAGCATAGTATAAAATAATATAGCATAGTGTAGAATGATATAGCATAGTGTAAAATGATATAGCATAGTATAAAATAATATAGCATAGTGTAGAATAATATAGCACAGTGTAGAATGATATAGCACAGTATAGAATAATATAGCATAGTATAGAATAATATAGCATAGTAATAAATCAGCCTTTTGAGAACTTGGAGTCTGATTCTCATCTCTCACCTCGTCCTGGGGACCTCGCAAACACCACAATTGCTAAAGCTTCTCTTTACTGCACAGCCTGAGGAGCCCCCTGCCGAGCTGTGAGGGTGGCTGAGGCTGCTGGCTGTCCTGCCAGGGCTGTAACAGGCTGCTCCCTGCTGTCCCCTGTCCCCAGGCACCTGCCAGCGTACCTGGTGGCAGCGTTCATCAAGCGGCTGGCGCGGCTGGCGCTCACGGCCCCTCCTGAGGCTCTGCTCATGATCCTCCCCTTCATCTGCAACCTCTTCCGCAGGCACCCCGCCTGCAAGGTGCTGCTGCACAGGCCAGCAGGGCCAGCAGGTAAGGGGGGACTTGTTTTATGTCTTTAAGGCAGCATAAAGAGGAGCATTCCTGTGGAGGAAAAGGGGAGATTGTGGTTCTGAGGTTTGGAAGGATGCCTTTGTCCTGTCCCTTGGGTTTGTGAAAGGTCAGCAGGCTCCTGCTGTTAAACCCAAAGCTGTTCCAAGTGCCTTACTTGCTCTGCTCTTTAAAAGTAACATGCTTCTGTAGTGCTGCCAGCTGTGACTCCTGGGTCATGCTGGGATTTGTCAGTTTGTCCCTGGAACCATTGGGAAGGAGCAACTCTGGCTGCAGCACTGCTCTGGGGCTGTGCTCCCTTTGGGTTTAGTGCACCACACAGGAGCTGTTAGCTGTGTATCTCCTGTTTCCTTAGATATGTCAGAAGATCCATACATTATGGAGGAGAAGGAGCCATCTGAAAGCAGGGCTTTGCAGAGCTCTCTGTGGGAAATTCAGGTATGTCATCCCAAAATGAGCATCTGGGTCTGGTATTCCACCCTTGCTCCTTCCTTGACATGTGTTGGCAGTGGACAGCCCCTCTCACAAGAACCTGCTTGACATATATCTTGCAAATGAGATGAGTCCTTTTACTCTGCATCATTTTTTGTCCTAGCAAAGGATTCCATACACTGGAGAGATGTATGTGCTAGTTAGTGGGGGGCTTATTTGAACTTGCAGTTCACAGCTGACACAGACTAAATAGCTGCAAATGGACCAGGCTCTGGAGGGGAGAGAGTTGGTGAGCACTGATGGAAGTGAATTGAGTAGAGCCAGGTTATCCTCTAGAAATGGATGAGGGGTTTGTGTAGGGGGCTGTAGCAGCAACAAGAATGATGTGCAGGAGCTGGAATCCTGGAGAGCTGGAGCTTGGGCGTGGTGTGAGGGCACTGTGAGGTGGCAGCATTGGGTTATGCAGTGTAGGCATGGCCTGTGGATGAATTTGTCTTCAGCTGGATATGACCATGTGAGAGGAGCCTTTGACATGTTTGAAAGATGCCTGAAATGAGGATTGCTTCAAGCTCTCTAGTAGCATGGTGGAGCAAACTTGGATCTGATGGAATTTGATGGTCACTGGAGATCTGACCCACAAATGGGCAGACTCCTGTGTGGGAGTGCAGATGGATGTGTGCTACCCTGTACTTTTAGATAATCTCCCATTTGTCTTGCTTTTCCAGTCTCTCCAGAACCATTATCACCCAGATGTGGCCAAGGCAGCTGCTGTCCTGAACCAGTCCCTGTCTGAAATGGAGGATGACATATCAGGGCTCCTGGAGCTCTCAGCTGCTGAGGTAATGCTGCTGTGCCTTTGTGAATGACTGGAACCAGAGGAAAGGAGGTTCTGGATGCAGCAGTCATGTCCTGTTATCTGCCTTGCTGCTGGGGAGGGAGCTACACTGACTTGGTTACCAGGGCAAGCCAGGAAAATGGTCTGTTAAATAACAGCATGAGCAACAGTGGTGACAGGGCTGGCTTTTTCTTTGAAGTGTTTATTTGCTGGATGTTTTAAGACTTTAGAGTGTGCAGTGTTATTGGGGTGAAGAGCCTGTGCTGAATTTTGACAATATTTTCTGGTTTTTATTTTGTAGCTTTTTGATAGAGAAGTAAAGAAAAAGGCTGTTGATGTGCCCCTGGAGTTTGAGCCTGTACGAGGTTTGTTTGGGAAGAAGAATGATATTTTTGCAGAGCACTTCAGTTTAGACTGATGCCATCTCTTACCAAAACACATCTGTCAGCAGCTGGATCTTAGGGACACACAGAAAGCTCCCCTGTGCTCTGCAGCCCTTCCCTGTGAGGAGAGCTGCCCTGCTTGAGCTGCACTGTGCCCCTTGCCACTGCCCCTGGATGGACTTTGCTGTGATTCTCACACTTGCATTCTGCCACCTGGTATTTGGGAGGGATTTCTCCCTGAAGCAAAGAATTCTGGACCAGTTCATGGCTGGGATCCCAGTCCTTCCCCCAGAGCTGCTGGTGCTGGCTGTGACCAGGGACTGCATCAACAGACATCTCACTGCTGTTCCATGGCACTGAGGGGAATTGCATTCTCTGACTGCTCTTATTTTTCAGATGTTTTACTTTTATATGAGAGCTGACAGCCTGTTTGTAATAAATGTCTTCAATACATAAGTGTAAACACCTGATGTATTATAATTATCTTTTTGTATGCATTTTTAAGCTCATCTTGAGAGGGATGTTTATCTTGTACTCAGCACTCCCACGTTCAAGGCATTGAAACTGGTTTGTCTAACAACTCAGAAGGTGCTCAGTAAATCCATCTAGGAAATGTTGCTGGTGTTCCTTCCTCTACATCTATCTCATGCACTGAGATTGCTGGATTCCAAATGCTCATGAGCTTTGGAAGTGAACATAATCCTGGTGCCTGCTGTAGCAGGGAGGGCAGCTGATGTGCAGTGGGAGGCTAATCCTTGAGTTTTGCTTCAGAATGATAAGCAGCTTGGTGTGGTTTTGCTTGCAGCCTGCATGTGTTTTAGGAGCTCTGGCCAGAGTGTATCCAGGGGCTAAAAACTTTTTAACTCCACTGCTACTGGATGCCCTTGTTAATTTTTCATATACTTCAGAAGTCATGCACAAATTCCATTTGATGGGGTTTCCCCCAAGGTTTTAAGTTTGAGATTAACTCATTATTAACAGCACAGATGAACTCAGGACTTTTTTAAAACTCATTTTCAACAACTTAATGTTACCTCCTTAGATTTAAACTCTGCTTGCATAATTTGAAATCATATTTTGTGGAAGGGTAAATTACAATCAAGAAAGCAGAGGCCAAAAAATCCAATTTCTGGCAGCCAAGTCTGGTTAAGTCAAGGAAAACTGCAGCTGTCTTGGAGACACTGAAGTGTTACATTTTCTTCATCCAGTTTTTTCATGCTTTCCAAACAGTGGACGTGTCCTCACAGTGTAGAGCTCTCCATATTTTTTTTCCCTTTCTGATGCTTTTGAATTCAGATGGGGTGTTTCTGAGGATTGATATTTCTCCTCTTTTTCTTTGGAAGTCTCTTTCTTTGTTCTCTGGTGGAAGGGCAGTGCTGCCTCCTCCCTGGCCAGCCTGCTTTTCTTCTTTCTTTGACTTCTGCTATCTGAGGTAGGAAGGCAGAATGGTTGAGATGGAACTTTGAACTGGAGAGGCCTCAGTTCAGGTTCACCCAAGCCTTGTATTTCATCTCTAAGATGTATCTCCCTTTGTCATGGGGTTTGTCTCTATGTGTTTGGTAAACACCTTGAGGTGCTCTGCTGCAGCAATGAGAACCACATGGCTCACTTTGAAAGAGGGCAGTGCATCATCTCAGCTGGAATGAATGACTGTATTTGAAAGGATGAATGTCTGTGTTGAATGGCTTTCTCTGATAGTTTTATTTAGGTTATAGCTGAATTATATCTGTGTGTAATTGCTGGTGGGCAGTGTCATTCACTTCTGTGATTATATTGACACTCAGGAGTGTTGGGCTCTTTTTGAAAGCACAAATATTCAACCATTTGGGCATGGGGCAAATTCACATCTCAAAGTGCTGAAAATGAGGGAGTTTGGTTGTGTTCTCCTACATGGACAGAGGGTAAATAGTGTCCTCAGGGCTGTGTGACCTGTGTGCTTGTCTGTCCTTCTGGGGTCTCCTGGCACCAACAGGGACACCCTGCACGAGGGGCAGATGGATTTGGTGGGGAATATTGGAAAGCAGCAGCTCCTACCTTGTGGTGTGGCCCTCTGCTGCCTGTGGGGAAAGCCTTGTGTCTGAGACCAAATGGCCACAGCCTAAAGCATTATCCAAGCACCAGGAAAAGGGATACCATGGAAAGGAAATGGAAATGAAAAAAAAGGAAATGGTGTTTTTCAGGAGGAGGACTGCAAAGGCACCAGCATCTCCAGTGTTCCACCAGCTGTGGATGCCACACTGCAGTGAGCAGTGCCTGCACTGGAGCAGGATGCAATTCATGTTTTCCAGGGCATTCCCAGTGTGCTGGGAATGTGTGGTGCCCATGTGCTGCCCGTGGCAGCTCCTGCTGGCGCTGAGGCAGAGGCTCAGGCTGACACAGGGTATTCCAGATTCCTCAGCACATTTCAGTGCTGAGCTGGAAATGCTGTTAGCGCTTTACTTGAAGTATCTGCAGCTGACCTGGAGTGACTTAATTATGTTGTGATCATGCCTGGCAGCCCCAGCACAGTTCCACTGTGCCTGGTGCAGACAATCACACCACAGACAGCTCAGAGGAGCTTACAGCTGAAAGCCTGGGTGCACTTCAGACAGGCCTTGAAGGTCTTCCACAGACTCCCCCAGCTCTGATGCTGCTCTTACCTGAGCAGCATTTTTAAACCAGCTCTTAGGTTTAAAAATAGCTTTAAGCTCCTCCCTGTCCTTGGAAAAACATTCCACCTGGTCTTTCATCAAGGTTTTATCTTTCAACTTTCACCCCTTTCCCCTCAAATAGGAGGCATCTAGAAAAAAAATCAGCAGTTATAAATATTGAAAGTTTCATCCGCACAGAGTGAGCAACCCTTATCAGGCTGCACACCTGCTGCTGCTCCTGCTCTGCAGGTCTCCACAGACTGTAGATTATAGATGCTTTAATCATGGGGTGTATTAACTGGAAGGCCAGATTGAAGTAGCAGGCAGCGAGTGCATAAGTCACTCCTGTTATTATTTGGTTTTTATCAGATGTGGGGAGGGGGGAGAGGTCTGTTCTGGGGGTTTTTGTTGCTGTTGGGCTATTTCAGTGAGCATAATACACAGTTTTATGAAAATATTGACATAACCCTGCAGCCTCCCCACCCATCACTGCCTTGGTCCCCCACCAGAGGGTAACAGTAAGGTCTCTGACTCAATGGACTGCCCTTGGTTTATTTTCCTGAGCTTCCATTCAAAGTCATCCCAGCCTGGCTGCAAAATAGAGCTGCTCAGCAAGAGCATGATGTGATTTATCTGGGGAGTCAAAGGTTGAGGTGACCACAATGTTTGTGTTAATCAGCTTAGATTCTTACTTTTAAGATATTCATAGGGAGATAGAGGGAAGTGCAAATTTACATCTGCAAATGAGTGCTGCTATTAGCATTAAGGTGGTTTCATATCCCTGAGATTGTGAGAGCTACAGTGCAGCCATAACCCCTGTGTTTTCCTCTACCTAATTTTGAAAAACAAGCTCTCAATTAATTTACAGCCCTGCTCAGGCGAAAGGGCTACAGGATCTCAGTTCCACTGACACTAGCTTTTTCCAGCACTATCATAATCAATATTCATTAACTGAAGCCTATTGGACTTGGAGATTTACTGCTATTAATAAGCCAAGAGTCTATCTTTGTGTAGTTTATGAAGAAAGTTTGAGACCTGTTACTAAAAAAAATTGCTTTTCTGCAGTTCCTTTGCCCTGTCCCTGGGCCATACTTGCAGCTCTAAAAACAGAGTTCTGGAGCATGTGAATAGAGCCAAAAGAGATAAAATCTCAGTGAAACTGCCTTCCTCTTCCAGAGGAATAAACCCCAGCAGACAGGATGCTCTGCTTGATGGTGCATGCAGAGATGTGAACGTCATCTCTGTCCTAACAGAGTTAAAAGCTGCAGACTCCGTGTCCTGCTGGTTATCCCCATTTTGTTGATAAATGCACAGAGTAAACCTTATCAAAAGGAGCAGGCTGCAGGCCTGCTAATGGAGCTGTGCTCGTGCTGAAGATAATTGATGCCTCAATAACACCACACGTTATCCAGAGAGCGGCTGGAGCGCTGTGTGAGGAGGAGCATCAATCACAGCTGCTCCTGTAACTTTTATCAAACACTGAGGTGGGTGGCAAGGTGCATTCTTGGGCTGCTCTTGGGGAAAGAGCGTTGGGCTCGGAGATACAAAACAAATGAATCATCACATCCCTTTTCCTACATCAGTTTCCTGCACGCTGGGAGTGTGAGGATTTACATTTCAGTCATCTCGGCTGGAGATGGGAGATGCCACGTGCTGTGGCGCTGGAAACTGAGGTTTGATGGCCGAGAGCTGCAGCTCCCAAGTGAGAGACAGACAGCCTTGCTGAGGAGCAGTGTGACAGCTGCAGTGTCCCTGCAAGGGTGGCAGTGCCACCTCACCTGCATGGGAGGGGCGGGGAAAGGAAAGGGAAGGAAAGGGAAGGAAAGGAAAGGAAAGGAAAGGAAAGGAAAGGGGAAAGGGGAAAGGGGAAAGGGGAAAAGAAGGAGGGAAAGGAAAGGGGAAAAGAAGGAGGGAAGGGAAGGGGCTGCCCCGCTCGGCCTGCCCTGTGGCCAGGGAAGCGGGCCCGGTGGCCGCTAGAGGACGGTGCAGACCGGGCGGCGGTGCCGCTGCGCTGCCGCGGGGCTCTGCCCGTGCCGAGGCTGCTCCACCTCACCTGAACCGATCCCTTCTGCAGCTCCCGGGCCGGGCAGGTGCCCCCCGGGCCGGGCATGGCCCTCGGGGGTGGGTGCGTAACCACACAGGAGAGCGAACCCCGCGGCAAAGCGGGGCACCGAGCGGGCTGGGGGCACCGAGCGGGCTGGGGGCACCGAGCGGGCTGGGGGCACCTGGGCTGGCCCTGCCCGAGGGACTGATCCCATGGGGATGGCGGCTGTGCAGGGCAAAGAGGGAAAAGCAGAGATCCCGGAGCAGCTGTGGTGTGTGCGCAGCGAGGGGACCCGAGCCAGCGTCCTCTGTCCCCTCGCTGGGGCTGGCTCAGGGTGTCCCAGCAGGTGCTGGGGAGCGGGGGCAGGAGGTGAGCACACCCTTTTTTGGGATAAGTACACCCTTTTTGGGATGAGCACACCCTTTTTGGGATGAGGACACCCCTTTGGAGATGAGCACACCCTTTTGGAGATGTGCACACCCTTTTTGGGATGAGGACACCCCTTTGGAGATGAGCACACCCTTTTGGAGATGTGCACACCCTTTTTGGGATGAGGACACCCCTTTGGAGATGAGCACACCCTTTATGGGATGAGCCCACCTGGCAATGGACAGTGCTGGCTGGCACTGCTCTGCTGGGGGAGCAGCCTTCCCTGCCTCTTCCCAAATGGCCTCATGTGGCCTTTCATCCTTATATTTCTAACCACGTCCTAAAAATGTTCAGTCCCACTTTAGGAAAATATTCTGTTTCAGGGTAGCATTTAGATATTTATATGCTTAAGTATCTTGGCAGATGAAATGTAAATTTGTGCTTTAGAGCACTTGACTGTCTTTGACACTCCCCTGAATTCCTTCCTGAGGAGCGGGGCTGCAAAGCACCCCCCAGGGAATGTCTGAGCAGCACCCTGACAGGGCAAAGGCTGCAGCCCCCAGCACCAGGCTTG